CTGAACTCAGTGTCAACCTTCACTCTGCCCCCAGAGCCCAGTGGGCAGGGGTGGGGGGCATGACAGCCCCACTCCCCAGACACCTGAGAGAGGATCAAGTGACAGTGGAGGAAGCTGAGGGCCTGACCTATGTCACCAGGTCCTCTGGGGGAACCCCCCAGGACTCGGCCTACCTGATGCTCCACATCTCCCAGTGGGCACAGCTTGCACGTCTTCTGTCTCACAGCCTGCACCCTGCAAAGTACCACAAACTTGTCCCTGGAGACGCAGGCCCAAATCACAGACAAAGAAAAGCCCTGGCTGCAAACCCAGCCTTCTCTTCCCTTCGGGGCACAATGGTACCCCATGGCCTCTGGTCAGTGCCTAGTGAAAGGTCACTCTCCTACATCCTTGTCACACACACAGCATGACCTGCAAGTGGGGAGCCACCAGGTCAGGGACCTTTCCCAGCCTCAGGGCCCAGTGTTGGTCCAGCCCTGTCACCTGGGCACGCGCTGTGATTCCACAGCCTCTCCACTCCCTCCAGCCCTAGCGAAGCCTCCAGATAACGCCAGCCTCCAACCAGCCTGGGTGTCAGCTCCAGGCCGTGCTCAACACCCTCTGCCAGCTTTATCAGTGCACTGGAGTAAATTCTAACTGCTCAGAAACACAGAGAAGGCAGACCCTGCCATTTGCCAACCAGGGCCCTGGGAATGGGGACTGCCTCTGAGCCAAGAAGGCTGCTTCTGCCAGAAGGCCAGTTCAGAGACTTGACCTTGGAACACAGGGCAAGGTTCACCTGGGAAATCCCTTCTAAGACCTCCAAAGACATCCCTGAGGCTTTAGGGGAACGTCTGGATAAGCCAACCTCCCCAGAGAGCTGGGTCACCCTCTCTTGTTCTAGAAGCTCTAATATTTTGAGCCAGAACACTCCAAACATCTCAAAGAGGTGTCAAAATTGTCTGGGGGGTCTGGGTCCACCCACATTGCAGTTCTGAGTCCCTTGATCATTGGCAACACACTCTTGCAGACACCAGAGGGAGGGCATTGGGCCCAGGGTTCAACAGGGCCTACACTCTAAATGAGAGCAGAGTAGATGTAACCAACGCACGTGAGGTGGCCTTCAGTGAGGCCTCAGAAAGCCGACCTGGCTGCCCTCAGTCCATGGTATTCCTTCTCCGGGAGGAGTGAGCAGGCACTGTGCAGGGAGCCAGACTTAGGGTTTGGGGGTCAGGCTCACAGCAGCCAGCTGGCTCAGATATGGGCCCCTAGTTACTAGAGGCATGTCTCATGAAAGCTCTCACCCTCACTGGGTCTGACACAAAGCAGGCTGCATGAAATCCGTGCATTTTTACTTTTAAGAAACAGAACCTGACTTGGCCAAGGCTGAGCTGGGCTAGGTCCTATAGGGAGGCTCCAGGACCAAACAACACCCTGCATCCTGCACCCACAGAGCGTCACCATGTCTCCTCAATGAGGTCCCCTGCGGCTGCCAGGCGCTCGGCTTTCATCACTATTAGAGCCAAGAACAGATCAATCCCTTCAGATCCTGGCTTGGCTTCCAGGGGGCCTAATTGTTGTCTTTGGGACAAGATCCTCTATCACCTGGACAAACAGAATGGACCTTCCTGGAATAATCTGGACTTTCCAACTCTGGAAGCTGAGGAGCTGTGGAGCCCAGGGGAACAGAGCCTATCTACCCACCCAGCTATAATCTCAGGCACGGGCTCCAGAACTATCCCAAGAAAGGCACTCTGCCTGCTATCCCCATGTGGTGCTGAGTGTGGCCCTCCAAGCGCTGAGAGGCCAGCTGAAGAGCATCTGAGTGGCGAGCATCCTCAACTACCCTCCCCCTGAGGGCACCTGGCAGGTGAGCAGCTGGGGGAAGTTCGTCCCACACTGCTGCTTTATGCACGGCAGCCGCCGCCTGGCTCCCATGACACAAAAGGATCAGTCCTGTTCTTGGGTTAAGTCATGCATAAGCATCCACCAAGGTCCGCCAACTGACTACTCCACAGAGAGATGGCCATCCCTTCGAGCACACTGCCCAGTAAAAAATGGCACCAAACTGGGCTCATCCTGCAAAGCACACGGGGCAGTGGTACCTGCCTCTTGTGTGGTGAGGGCAGAGAGCAGCATGGGCTCTGCCAGATGCCCAGAGCCCCTGGCCCTCAAGAGCTTGACCATGGGGACCTCCTGTGTACAAGGCCATGCATGTCCAGGGTCAGTTTCAGGCAGACAAGGAAACAGGCTCAGGGAAGCCAAGCAACTTGCTCAAGGTCACCTGCTCAGTAAAGAGCAGATGACACACTTGAACCCAGGACCCTCCTCAAATAAGAAGGGAGCAGGGGCCCCTGAGTGGCTCAGTCGATTGAGCGTCTGACTTCGGATCAGGTTGTGACTTTGGGGTCCTGGGATTGAGTCCCCCGTTGGGCTCCCTATTCCACAGGGAGTCTGACTATCCCTCTCCCTTTGCCCCTCCCCCTGTTTGTGCTCACTCTCTCTGTCAAATAAATAAAATCTATTTTTTTACAAAGAAAATCTTTAAAAAAAAATTTCCTTTTCTCTAGCTGACTTTGCAAGAATACAGTATATAATACATATGACATACAAAACATACACTGACTATTTATGTTGTAGGTAAAGCTCCTGGTCAATAGTAGGCTATTAGTTAAGTTTTGGGGGAGTCAAAAGTCATACACAGACTTTCAACTGTGTAGCGGGGTCAGCGCCCCAAATCCCCACATTGGCCAAGGGTCAACTGTGCAGCAGTATGAGGAGCATCAACTCTGATATGCTTTAATACATCAAATGATAGTTGTGCCAATGCCTTCAGATGTCATTTCACTCACTATTTCTAAATTACAATATATGTAGCAGCAATTAAAATCTCATCATTTAACACATTAACAGTAAATGTGTTACTAGGTCACACATTTCTCTTTAATGCTTTATTCGCTCTCTGCATAGTGCATTGCTTTGGTAATTCTACATATTTTGGGTATCTGAGAGGGATCCGTTTCCAGAAAAGACCAAGGCCCCTGCCCATGACTCGCTGTCTTGACAGGACCTGCCCCAACTGAGGTTCAGCCATGGATGGCTTCATTAGGAAGGTATTTATAAAGTCAACTGGAGTTCAAAAAAAAAAAAAAAAAAAAAAGAGTCTCACTAATCTGTTTCTGAACCAATATTTACTCCTGGCTGCAGAAAGTCAGAGTGAGGACTCACCAGATAAGCCACATAAAGTGTTAGCTCAGGCATGGAACATCAATACCCCAATCTCCACACCAGTGCTGCCGGGGGACTGACATCCTGGTGTTTCCTGGTACCTACAGGGGTGGGATAGGGGGTCTCCATGCAGCAGGGAACACATGGACAAATTCACGAGCATTTGGTTCTAGTTACTAAAAATGCCATAATTACATCACCAACACAGGTATACTTGGACACAAGATATCACATGACTGAGAGGACACCTAGATATGAATGCCCCCCCGCGCCCCACCCCCGCCGGGCTCTATTGGGAGCCCCTGCCTAGCCCCTGCCTGGCCTTTTTTAAGCCTCCCCTTCTTGGGAGTCTCCCACAGGTTTCTAGGTCGGCACAAACAGTGCTCCCTGGAGGGGCTACCCTTTCTACCTCTTCTGCCCCAACTCCCCATACCCCCTGGCAGATAGCGCCTGTGCACTGCCCTCAGCTCAATCTCCATCAGCACGCCAAGCCCTGGGAGGTCCTGCCCAAACTCAAGTACTCTGCCATGTGAAAGCACATGGTTCTCTTCACCTCTGGGCCCCACCTAGGCCTGACCAGAGGGAACCCAAGTATCTTGTAAACTCAGTGACCTACTTATAAGTTCAGCAATGAGCATGGCAGCTTCTGACGCCAACCTCCAGCACTTTGACCCAAATGAGGTGCCACTTTGCATGGCCTGCAGGGCCTAAAGCGCATGGGTGCCCCCTTGCCCTCTCTGCCCAAGGTGTTCCCAGACCCTTCAATGACCAAGGGAGGGAGGTGACAACAGGCAAGCCAAAGCTGGGGAGGGCAGCTTGGAGCAGAGAGTAGGGCTCTGAGTCCAGCAGCCAAGCCACACACCCAAGCCTCTGCCTTCCTATCCTCGTGGCCTTGGGCAGATGGGCAAGCTTCCCTGAGCCTTAGTTTCCTCTTCTGGAAAACAGGACCATGAAGACCCCCTGGCCAGGCTGAGATGACTCCAGGAAAGGCTGGGACAAGTATGTGCCCCACCCCCACCCTCATGATTCCTCCTAAGACCCCCTCCAACCCCCAAAATGAAAGGTGCATTTCTGAGTACCTCAACGAGCAGGCCAGGCCACACAGTGATCTCACCATGCTGCTGCTCCTGATCCAGCGTGGTTTCTACAGCCAACGGGGACAAGCAGAGGCAAGCACAGGCTGCCTTCGTCTACTGCATCGAGACCAGACCACTGGGGCAACCAAGAAGGAAAGTGAGGGCTATACCAATTAAGACAAACCATTTCTACAAGCCCAAGGATTTGTCTGAGAAATGAAAAAGGAAGGAGACAGTGAGAGGCAGCTGAGAGACCAGAGTGACAAGAGGGGGCCACTGTCGCCAGAGCTGCCCACCAGGCCATGCTGGGAAGCTCTGCTTACACTTTCCAGAAAAGACCCTCTCTATACCACAGCTCCATGGAGCTTGCCCTGGACTCCAGGCAGCATGAAGACACTTTTGTCCCTTCTGGGCTCTCCCAAACACACAGCATGGGGCCTTCATCTTGGGTGGAAAACAGAGACCATTAAATGGAAGTGAGACACCCCACTCAGGAGGATAGAATGACATGAACGTGGCCTATTTTTCCATCTCTAACCTACCCAGGTGAACCAATGAGCAGGGCAGGCAAGACAGCCACAGAGGTGTTTCATAACAAGGGAAGGAGGACTCAACTCAGACCCACCAGGTTCCCACGCAGACACCTATAGGCACCCCCAAGCCAAACGTCAGAATGTGACAGCAATGAGCCGAGACCGCCATGCCTGAGCCTGTGACATGTGGCCTGTCTGAGGGAAGGAGAGCTACATGCGAGCCCCTATGAGCAAAGTAAGTCCTTGCTTCATCCGGAAACCTTCTCGGCATACAGGAGGGGCTCAAGCACTGACCCTGAGATGATGCTGGCCAAAATTCGGAATGAGGCAGGAGCTCCTGGAGCGTTTTGCAACCCGGGTGCACAATGAAGCAACCGTCACCCTCAGGAACCAGCAGCAGTCCCTAAGGGTGCCCCGGGAAAGTGCCACTGCCACCACTCAGCTGCTCGCAGGGCCACACCAGACGGGACCAGACCAGACCCGACTACAAGCCACACTGGAGTGTTTCCTGAGCTCAAAGATAAATAAAATGAAGTCAGATGCAAGAAACAACTTTTTAAAAGAAAGATAGGTTGGGTAGAAGGAACAGTGAGGTGAGCCCTGGTGACTGGAGGAGTCCAGTGCCTCACTGTGGCTATAATATTAAGTCTTCCAAGTAAGCAAACATCCCATCAGTAACAAGAAACATCCAGAAGGAAAGATGAGGTCTCCTGCCTTCCTACTCACCAACACAAGGTCGTTATAATCATTTTACTTCAGGCCTGAAATTACATTTTGGGAGCAACTCATGATGTGCGCCATCACAAGAGCAGAACCTGGCAGGACTCCAGGCCAGCCGCGTCCGCCAGAGGAGGGCCAGCAGGTCTATTTAGGAAAGGAAAACGGAACCGTCTTGCTGGCGCTGGGCAGCTGCATGTATTAGCAGAGAGATGCACAGTACAATCCAAACCCTTTCTGTACTTCTAGGCTAAGAACCCGTAACTGACCAGGACAAGAGGTCTGTTTAACTCTCTAGGCCTTTTAAGGCCCTCCCTCATGGCCTGAGGCTGGTCTGGCTTCATACCACCACCATGCTGCCCACCACACTGGCAGGTGAGCAAATGTCACACAGCCAGGGGCCTGGGTTACAAAGAACTCAACATAAAATTCACAGAGAAAGGCAGGAATGACAAAGTTAAAGGAGCTAAAACTGCCCTGGTCTGAGCTTCCCCCCTCCACTCAAAACCCAACCCAGAACTGGAGAGAAAGGGCCTGACCTCCCTTGAAAGATGAGGCAGTGCCCAAAGGTGTCATATCCCTTCCATACAGGAGATCTAGATCTGAGCAGCACCCCTGCCCAGCTTCCACATCAATCAACCAGTCCTAGTAGGGACAGGGAACCAAGGGCTCAAGAACAGGAATGATACACTAGGTCACTGACAGCTACTGGGAATTGAAAGCAAAACTTCTGTCTCAGTGCCCAGAAGCTGAGATCAGAAGATTCACTTCCGCTTCAGGATGTGCCATTTAAAAGCTGTGTGATGGGGGCGCCTGGCTGGCTCAGTTGGTTAAGCGTCTGCCTTTGGCTCAGGTCATGATCCCAGGTCCTGGGATAGAGCCCTGCATTGGGCTCCCTGCTCAGCAGGGAGTCTGCTTCTCCCTCTCCCTCTGCCCCTCCCCCAACTTGTGCACATGCACTCACTCTCTCTCAAAAGTAAATAAAATCTTTAAAAATAAGTAAATAAAATAAAATAAAATGGGGCACCTGCGTGGCTTAGTCATTAAGCGTCTGCCTTCGGCTCAGGTCATGGTCCCAGGGTCCTGGGATCAAGCCCCGCATCGGGCTCCTTGCTCAGCAGGAAGCCTGTTTCTCCCTCTCCCACTCCCCCTGCCTCTGTTCCCTCTTCGCTGTGTCTCTCTCTGTTAAATAAATAAGTAAAATCTTAATAAATAAATAAATAAATAAATAAATAAAGTAAGTAAGTAAGTAAGTAAGTAAGTAAGTAAGTAAGTAAGTAAG